AAAAAAAAGAAAGAATGATCAAATTTTTTAATTATGTTTTAAGGAATGAATCATCCGAACGTTTTTTACCTATCCGGTTTTAGGGTTTAGAAAGCTGGTCCACAGTTTCCTGACTACCTTCATCAGTGGTTCCCAAAGAAACTGCATAATTTTAACTTTCGATTTTATCTATTTTGATAGTTTTTTTAATAAATTATTGATTCAATATTCCAACTCATAGTTTTTGTTTCAGTTTTGAAGAGGAAACTTCCAAAATTAATGAATAAACTCATAGCCAATTTCAGTATCCAAACTATGTTCAAAGTGAAATTAAATGCCTAGAAGAAATATTTTTATATACGATCAGATGGTCCAAAGCCCTTAAAGTCCTTCAATCGTTAAGTGGAGAATGAAGCCATTTGTAGTTGTCACTCCATCCGAACAAAAAATAACCTTTGTTTTCGCCCTGCGCGTCTCCAAGGGTGCTGATAATGACATCACCAGCAGCGGTGCAATGTGCTGTATGCGGCATTGAGACGTTGTAGTCATGCAAAAGCGCAGGCTCAATTGTCTGTAAATGGTGAAGTATTATCTGAGCTTCTTCCCTTTACATAATGAATAAATTAGGATACAAAATTATTTTTTTACCATTTCGAGGCGTAGATCTCGCTCATTTTCGACATTGACAACATAAATGCGGTCAGAATTCAAGCATGGTAGCACAAGATGCGACCTGAAAAGTTCATTTCCTGAAATAGCGGAACTAGATGTAAATTTGAATGGATTACCTCTTCTTTGAAGGATCGCTGTGACATGACGAGCAGGTATTCCAGCCACTATGATGTACCTCATCGCCTAAGTTCGGGAAAACAACTTTGGATAGAACCTGAAAAAGTGGATATGCTGTATTTGACTAGATTAAGGTGTTTTACAATTCGTGCGGCAGCTTGACATACTGAAATGAAGGGGATGTAACTGCTTTGCTAATATCCTAGAGCACTTTCCAGCAAAAAAGTTGTCGCCGGAATTTCTCCCCATAAATCCTTCAGCAGATGTGGGAGCAAAATCGAGACTATCATTATAACTATATTTTACTAGCATACATCATAAATAGACCGAGACATCATGGTTTGCCTGAATTTCGCGGAGAGAAGGTATTGAGCAATATAAAAAAGACAAGAAGATATAACAGCTACTCTTCCGAGCTTGGTTTGGATTGTTTGCAGAATGATCAAATTCCGAAATAATGAGAGTTCGATAAAAAATATTGAATCAATTATGGGACACTCATAATTGATTAAAAAAATTTTCATGAAAGCTTCTCAGTGATGGAAGTACAATCTTTTAGAAAGTACCCCAAAGGCCTGCAATGGCTTTACCAATTCATACTGTTGGATTACGGTACGCAATGTAGATCCTTCGGATGCTGGCTTGAACTTAATGGCATTGTCCAAAAAGTAGAAGGATTGGAACTATATGGTACGGCTAGTTCGTTGAGCCCAAATAGGATAACAAGGGTATGTACCAAATCGAGGTAAACGCTTAGAATCGGCAAACCTACCCAC